GGCCAGGGCGATGGGTTCCCGTTCTGGCAGTGCCTTGCCAGTGTCTGGGTCCTGTGGTGTGTCCCAGGGTGGGCTCAAGGAGGTGGTTGTGTTTCCTGTGCCCAGGTGAAGCGGACGTCGGGAGCGGGGGCTTGCCAAAGCTGTGGCTGTTTCTGACCTTCTGCCTCTTCATGCCTGTCACCATCGGGCTCATCCTCATGGCACTAAGGAGAAGTGGCCCAAGGTGCTGTCGTGCCACGGAGGAGCTGGATGAAGACGAGTGAGCCTGTTCTCTGCACCAAGGGGTGTTGGGGTGATGGTGCGGAGGTGGCTGTACGCAGCAGGAGAGCTGGGGCCTGGGCAAGGACTCTCTCTGTCCAGCATGCCCAAGGTGGGAGGAGGAGGCAGGAGCGATGGATGATGAAGGGACGAGGGCTGGTGGCCATGCAAGGAGGAGGTTTTTGCTCCGTGCAGCTCTGTGACTGACTGGAGCTGCTTCCTGGTCCCATTCTAGGTTGGAAGGCAAGGACTCCCTGGATGAGGAAGGGTGCGTGTCAAATGTGTAGCGGCGCAGTAGGGAAGGAGGTGGAAATGTAAGTTGCTGCCCAAGTGGCTGACTGGGTTTTTGTGCTGGGCTTGTTGGGCGGTGGTGGTGGAGCTGGCAGTGGAAATAAGGGACAGAGAGCCGGTGTGTGTGCCTTGACGTTGGTGGGGAAGCAGCCTTAGTGGGAGCGTGGGTCTGGGGGCTGGGGCACCGCGGGCAGCGGGGCTGTCGGAGTCACAGGTGGGTGGCAGCAGGGTTTCTGCAGCACCTTGGCTCCCGGGTGCACGCAGACGTGGCTGGCCCCCAGAGTCAGGTGCCGTGGCCAGTGTCAGTCTTGGGAAGGGTGTTCTCCAGCGCTCGGTACTGTGGCCAGTTCTGGTTGATATTTGTTGATGATCTGGATGAGGGGATCAAACCTCCATACCCTCAGTAAGCTTGCAGGCGATGCCAAGCTGGGCAGGGGGGTTGATCTGCTGGGGGTAGGAAGGCTCTACAGAGGGATCTGGGCAGGCTGGCTTGATGGGCCACCGTGCTTGGAGAGGATGCGGCAGGGGCGGCCATGGGATGGTGGGGTGCTGAGCGGCCCTGCGCAGGGAGGTGCCTGCTGTGCAAGCAGACTCGAGGAAGAGTTGGACCGAGTGTCACTGGGGTGAGGTGCTGAGGGCTGTCCCTGTGGTGGCCTTGGTCCCAGATGGGTCCGTGTCTCTTGCACATGAGCCCAGAGGGAGGTGGCAGTGTGCATGGCAGGCTGCCGGGGCAGTCCCGTGCAAAGCAGCCCTTTGGCAGGCAGGGGCCTTGGGCTGGAGGTGGCTGGAGGTGGCTGGAGGTGGGTGCTGCCCAGAAGTAAGTGGTGCCTCTGTGGTGTTCCTGGCAGTGTCTGGCAGCGGTCCATGGAGCCCACCGCACGGAGGATGCTGCAGTGCAGCACGGGGGAGGAGAGCCCCACAGCCCCGGGCTTGGGAGCCAAGTGGCCTGCAGGCGCGTGTAGTGCGGCTCTGTTGTGGTTGTGGTTCAGTAAAAGGTGACTATGGTCTCCGAGGAGCTGTGTCGTCCCTGCGGAGCGGCACCGTGTGCCGGGGCTGTGCCTGGACCGGGAGGCCCTGAGCGAGTGGAGGAGCCCCGGCTGTGTGCTGTGCTGGTGTGGGCAAGGGCTGCTCCTGCCCGGGACACAGCCGGGAGATGCGGCCAGCCCTGGCTGGTGTCTGTGCCCGGTGTGATGCCAGTGATTGATTGATTGATTGATTGATTGAGAGAAGTGCTCTGCTGCCCCCACGGCCTTCTCCCATCCCTGCACTGTGCCCCTGGCCCCTCTGCAGCACCCACCTCTCCTCCTGGCATCGCTGCCCGTTGAGCCCCAAGCCCACCACGGGCGCTGGGAAGCTGCGCTGAGCCCCTGGGCTGCCCCTGCAGCCTGCCTCTCGGCCAGCGGAGGACGGGATCTGCACGGGCTGGCAGCGTCCATGCAAACCGAAGAGGCACAAGCATGTGCGCTCCTGTCCTGACCCTGCAGCCAGAGCCGGTCTGCAGAAACGGGGGCTCATGCTGTGCTGCACGCTCCAGGCGTACAGACGGGCAGCACTGCCCCACACCCTGCACTGGGAGGCTCCCGGGGTCTGGTACTGCTGCACCACTGTGCTCTCCCCGTCCCCGGGTGGTGAGGACCCACCAGCAGCCCCAGAAGAGGGGGCCCAGCATGGCCCAGCACGGCCACCTTCGCCTGTGGGCCAGGGCATCGCCAGCCTCCACCCCTGCCCTGGCAAGGGGGCACCCGCGTTTCCTGCAGTGCTCTCAGACCTGCACCCCGCAGAGACACCCATCTCGCTGGCTGTTCCTCGACTCTTCCCCTGCCATGCACCCAC